ATGCCTTTTTTTTTTTTTTTCTGACTGACGGTCGGGCCCCGACTCCCGATGTCAGAAAAAACGATCGCAGGGAAAGGTTTAATCTGCTCGATCGAGCAGATTAAACCTTTCCGGGAGGAAGTGTTTCTCTCCCGGGAGCCGCTATCCAATAGCGGGAGACTCCCGGAGCGTCCGGGAGAGTTGGGATGTCTGCAATATATGCTGTTTCTATGTTATTCTACAATGTAGTGATATACTATATTACATTCCCCGGTCGTCCTGTAGACGGTGGATCTGGATTGGCAGGTTCTCTTCCTGTCGTACATTATTTGGCTCCTGGTGTTTGCTCGGTGGTTTCCTTGGACACTCCATTGTTCACATAGAAGGTCGAGTTGTCAGCTCTGTGTACATACAGATGAGTGTGCCGGGCTGTGTACACAGCTTTGGGGAAGAGCTGATCTCCCGTATAGACGAGCTGCGGAAGTCATGACAATGCCGCCGGACCCCCCGCCCCCCCAAGGTAGGTCTGTCATCCGGTATTCACATTGATGCCGACTCTTGCCTGGCTGCAGGTTTTAGGACAAAACTGGGGAAAAAATTGTGCATCCTGTGTAAAAATTGTGTGAATCCTTGTGTGAAAACATTTATAAATTAACTGACTAAATCTGAATAATCTTAAAAGTCTTAAAACATTATTTCATATTTTGCCTTTTCTAATTTTTATACTTGCTGTATAATAATATGGCGATGGCTTATTTTTATCTTTCTTCATGATTTCTTCAGTTAGGGAGCAGCTGGGCAACATGGGTTTAGTCTGATCATCTCCTTAACTGGTTGTAACATTACAATCTAATTGTACAATACCTGTGTACAATCTACTTCATATTTACTAAAACTGTGTTTAATGAGATGCACGTTTTTTATGTTTACCTATCAATCTATGTAATATGAGGACCGACCTCATCCATTCAATCAATTTGTATCCAGTCTGGAACACAAATAGTTGTTGTTAGATATAAAGCTGGCCATACATTATGCAATCTGATTGTACAACCACTGCACAATCTCCCTATCAAAACTATGTAATTGTTTACATTAGGTTTCCCCATTAGAGTTCTCCCTTACATTAGGTGTCCCCATCAGAGTGCCCCCTTACATCGGATGTCCCCATCAGAGTGCCCCCCTCTACATTAGTATTCCCCATCAGAGTGCGATGGAATTGACTTGAATTACCCTTACATCAGGTGTCCCCATCAGAGTGCTCTCTTACATTAGTGTTCCCAATCAGAGTGCTCTCTTACATTAGTGTTCCCCATCAGAGTGCCCCCTTACATTAGTGTCCCCCATCAGAGTGCCCCTTACATTAGTGCTCCCCATCAGAGTGCCCCCTTACATTAGTGTTCCCCATCAGAGTGCCCCCTTACATTAGTGTCCCCCATCAGAGTGCCCCTTACATTAGTGCTCCCCATCAGAGTGCCCCCTTACATTAGTGTTCCCCATCAGAGTGCCCCCTTACATTAGTGTTCCCCATCAGAGTGCCCCCTTCCATTAGTGTTCCCCATCAGAGTGCTCCCTTATATTAGTGTTCCCCATCAGAGGGCTCCCTTATATTAGTGTTCCCCATCAGAGTGCCCCCTTACATCAGATGTCCCCATCAGAGTGCCCCCTTACATCAGATGTCCCCATCAGAGTGCCCCCTTAGGACAAACCTAAACAATTGCATTAGTATCACATTGGGCAGACTGTTGTACTGCATAGTGGATGGTAGCTCTAAAGGAGATTGTATATTGTATGTTGTTCTCCTTTAGATCTATCAACAACTATGCAGGACATGTGCGTTGCAGACTGGATACACATTGATTGGATGGATTGGGCAGATCTTATATTACATAGATTTGGTCAATTGGAAGTTGATTGTACACAGATTGTATGATTAGATTGTAAGTTGTATTGTGACCTGAAAAAGCCTTGGTTATGGTTCACACCATAGCACATATATTAACGCATGTTAAAGCCTGCATGGTAACGTGTGCTACTGCAATGCAGGGTAATGTTCTGTGTGTGTCGGTTGGGGTTCGTTGCCATTTATTCTTTATGCCACTCAAATGCTCATGTACATAAAAAGCACCGAAAACTCTGGACAGAGCAGTGTACCATGTTTCCAAAAATAATGCAGGGACAAATGTTTGTTTATTAAAGAGCACAAGCTGCCTTAACACAGCAGGCGTTGCCATTTACATCTTATCATGTAAATTAACCCTAAAAGAGATCCCAACACCAATTTTTAGGTAAACGTACAGAAATAATGTAAATTCTTACTTGCAGCGTATTTCATTTCCATAATTGATTTCTTAATTCACTTCAATGTGTCTTTCAACCTACTAGAAATTCTGACCACGCCAGAGTCTATTCCTTAGCACAGCCCCCTCCCTCCTTGCACATCATAGCCCTCTCCCCTTCTGGGAGTGTCGAATTACTGTCTGTGCTGGCCCAGCTTCTCCGCTTCTCCTCTTACCTCCCTAAATATGTAGCTGCCTAGAGAAGAGAGAAGGGGAATGTTATTGACTTCAGTGACAGCTCTGAGTCTGCTGGGGCTGCAGTCACCACATCCAGGATGGCGGCACACAGCACCAGCAGCAGTCTCAGGGTTTTCTGCTTTCATTTCAATGAAATTGTTATTTAGTCATGGATACAGAGGTTGCATAACCAGGTATACAGAACAGAAAAAGCTGTCTGATTAGTCTGTGACATTACCCAGGTGACCAAGGCCATTGTATGAGAACACAGGTACAGAGCAGAGGTATTGAATTCACAGAGGTCTGGTCAGGAGGATGACACCTGATGTAAGGGGGCACCCTGATGAGGACACCCGATGTAAGAGCTCTTACATCAGGTGTCCCCATCAGGGTGCCCACTTACATCAGGTGTCCCCATCAGGGTGCTGCCTTACATCAGGTGTGCCCATTAGTGTGCCCTCTTACATCAGGTGTCCCCTTCAGGGTGCCCCTTATATCAGGTGTCCCCATCAGAGTGCCCCCTTACATCAGGTGTCTCCATAAGGGTGCAGCCTTACATCAGGTGTCCCCATCAGGGTGCTGCCTTACATCCGGTGACCCCATCAGAGTGCCCCCTTATATCAGGTGTCCCCATCAGGGTGCCCCCTTACATCAGGTGTCCCCATCAGAGTGCCTCCTTAGATCAAGTGTCCACTTCAAAGTGCCCCCTTACATTAGGTGTACCCATCGGAGTGCCCCCTTACATCAGGTGTACCCATCAGAGTTCCCCCTTATATCAGGTGTCCACTTCAGAGTGCCCATGTTATCAGGTGTCCCCATCAGAGTGCCCCCTTACAGTAGGTGTCCCCATCAGCGTGCCCCCTTATATCAGGTGTCCACTTCAGAGTGCCCATGTTATCAGGTGTCCCCATCAGAGTGCCCCCTTACAGTAGGTGTCCCCATCAGCGTGCCCCCTTACATCAGGTTTCCCCATCAAAGTGCCCCTGTACCTTTTAGCACCAGGCAGGCAGAAGGCGGTAGCAAGCTGTAGGTCTGGATGGAGGAAGTTCCCTTTCCATCCTCTTGTAATACCGTGGATGAGGGAACACATGTGATGTCATTGGTTGTTTGGACATTGGCAGTTCCAGCAACTAACCACTGCAGAGAAGGAAACTCCACTGGGTTATGGCTGAGTTCCAGTGGATGTGGTGCATCAACTACCAGGCAGCCATAATGAGGGTGCTTTTCCAGGGTCGCCCCTGGAGAAAGTTTCTTTTGAGCCACACCTCCTCCAGCACTTTCAGGAATGTGTCAGAGCTCAACTTACCAGGAGTATGGTGCCATCTGGATATCAATTTGAAGTTTGTGCTAGAGGAAAAGGTTGTCATCAGCATTAATCTTTTTTTCTTTTGCTCATCCAAGTGCGTGTGTTGAAACTCCTTCTTCCATTGAGATAGGTAGCCAGTTTAATGTGAGGATTAAAGATAGAGCAGTATTTTGTAAAATGTTGAGACCCCCATGGGTTGGTGTAGTAGCTGTTGACAGAAGTGCCTCTCTATGGGGTTGAGGTCCATCATACAAAAAGAGGCTTTGGCAATGAATCAGTAAGGTCACGGAGTTGGCGATATCTTCAGAAGTCTAGGGGGTTGAGTTCTCCCGCAGTCTCTCAATTGGTGAAGATTGAATATGTTGGGGCCACCGTTAATGTCATAAAGGTAAAGTATAGAGGTCCATTTGTTCAATCCTGAGTCCCTAAGGCCCAGTGGAAAGTTGTGAGGCCCAGCTAGAGGGGGAAGTGTAGTGTTGTAAGAGAGGTTAAAATGTTTATGGACCATGTTCCAGATTGACATGGTTACCTTGGTTAATTTCCAAGTGTCACTCTGAAAGAATTGGTAAGATGGAGGTATCCAGAGGGCTGTGGAGAGGACCACAATGCTGACAGATTGGAGGGATTGAATTTTGGGTTAGCGTTGGAGTTCACAGTATACTACCAGTCTATCCTATCGAGAGATTCAGGTTGTTTATAAAAGTGAAAGTCTGGTGAAGCGAGAGCGCCTTGAATTTGTCACACAGGCTTCTGATGGGAACTATAAGTGGCCATTTCAAAACATATTACTTGATTATAGTCCACTGTTGTCACCCTCAGGAAGCCCATCCTGATGCATGCCATTCCAAGAGGAATAGTAAAGCAGAATGACGGAGCAGCATTGTCAACCAAAAGTGAAAGTGAGGGGAATTTCCGTATTGGGCATTTGCCATCGGAAAATGTGTCCAATTTGGACTTTCGTTACTTTCTGTCTTAGTGACAATAAATGTGTGAATATCCCCAACACTTATCAGAAGGTCAAACCCTCCCTACTCTATCCAAATAAAACCGTTGCCTTTATGTAGACTTTAACCATTGAAATACAGGACTTGCAATCTACTTACTCAGAACCTTCACAGACATACTTTGCCCATAGCCCTTGTGCAGCAAGCGTTTGTGTGGTACCGTATCAAAAGCCTTTGAGAAATCCAGATATAACACATCTACCGGCTTCCCTCCGTCCATATCTCTACTTACCCCCTCATAAAAAGTTAGCAAGTTAGTTAGGCAGGAATGATCTTTCCTGAACCCATGCTGATTGTCATTAACTATGCCGTTTTCCTGAACAAATTCTACCAGATAATCCTTTATTATGCCCTCTAGCATTTTGCAAACTACCGATGTTAGACTGACCGGCCTATAGTTCCCAGGTTGGCACCTAGCCTCTGTGGTTTTGCCATTTTTGTATTCAGGTGTACGTATACAATTTACTGTGCCATTATTTTTTTGGTAGTCTGCTGATCTAGGAATTAATTTTGCTCACCTGTTAGTAATGCAGTAGAAGAGTTCACAAAAACACTTGTTGAAGGTTCTTCTCTCTATTTCCAATACATAAAGCCCACCATTGTTATCTGGCTTCTTGGAGCCTCTATCTAACAACTGACCTTTCACTTTCTCAAACCACTCATCCCCACACAGGTATTACCTTCTGCATCACTCATCCCTCCTTTTAGACTGTAAGCTCCCAAGAGCAGGACAGTTCTAGCCTTCTGATTTTTTTAACTGTACTGTCTCCTTTTATCTTGCAGCACAAACTGTTGGCCCTCTACATCCTTAATAATAATAATAATAATAATAATAATAAACCTGATTGCTCATATATCCTCCCGCTGCTGACCTCCACATTATTACAGGATACAGTAGTGACGTGAAGGTCAGGGCACCAATGAGAGCTGTGGGGTACCCAGCATATCGAAACTCCTGAAAATGTTGGTTTTACCAGCAACCTTTGGGGTATAATTTCTACTGAACAAAGCAGCGTTCAAAGGCCTTGATAGTGGGAATGGTTAGTATATGTTCTCTTTTTTTACAGGTAACTCTCGGTTGTGAATGTTTAGTAGAGCAACAGGGTTACTTTGAGGGCCTCCTTGCACCATTACAATGAGTTAGCACACACATGTTAATGTGTGTTGCTTTAAGCTACCAACGCACCAAAAAAGGTGACTGTAGTATTTCTGCCTGTGCACCATAACACACAGTGCTCATCTGTTGGCTAGGTGTGTTGAGGTGCCATTGAGAATAAATCAAAATGAATGGTACCACACCAACACCAAGACACAAAACATGCTCAGTTTTGGTTTTCAACTACAGCAGGGATTCCAACTAATAGGCCTGAGGACCAAGGTATTAGTAGGTCAGTTGACTTTTTTTTCCCCATAAAATAAGAAAAGTGGTCTAAATGTGTTTCAGATGATGGAGAAGTTTGCTATTCCCACCAGTATGACAGCCACTCCCATCCTGAAGAAGAGCATGGTAAAGGAATCTGCTTACCTGTTATCCACAACGCTGCATTCACTTACCCTAAGTAAGTAATAACATTAAAAGTTGAAAGAGTTTTACCCCATGTGCGGCGCTCGTCAGAGGTGGGGTAAACGGTGATACTTGGTGGGTGCCTCGTTTGTGATTGGAGCGTGCTATGTGGGGGTGCGGCTTCCGTTGTGTTCGGACCGTGGTGTCCAACAAATGTACTAAAGGGAAACAAAAATTGGAGAAGGAAGCGCCACTACCTGGCGCAATAAATGTGGTGAAGCAGGGTGAGAGAGAAAAGGTGATGTACTCACCTATGGTAGGTTGTTTGTTCGCTTTTCGCAATCGGGGTGAGGTGCGCCAGATGGAGTGGAGCAGGATACACGTTAGATTTAAAGGAAGTAAAGTCAAATATAGTAAAATATATACAGAAATGTCATATGAAATAAGGAATTTTCTTCAATGGGATTAATTTTATGGATCAGTTGCCTAAGGAGATACAGAGTTTAATTAAATTTTTTTCATGTTTGACTTCCAGATAAAATGTATGTAATTCAGATTAAGTATGGATTTTTTTTTTCCCATGGAAAATATCAAAAGCTGTTGTAGCACCACACTGGATTTTATAGGCAGGAGGGGCTGACATTTAACCTCAGGGATGGATCTTTATCTGGAATGTGGGATGTGTGGAGTAAAATAGGATGCAAGTCGCATTAGAATTTATATAATGCTTTAATAAGAACCAACAGCAAAACAGGCAGAGGGAGAAAATAGGGCTGCAGACACCTGAGGAATACAGATTCACAAGTCCCTTCCAGCTTCCTTCCAGTGCAGGAATACATAAAGGGTTATTAAACCCTCGAATGTTTTTACATATATCTTCGGCAAGCAAGCAGTAGATATATGCAAAACGATTTTGAAAAAAACTTTTTCAAAGGGTTAATACTTACCTGTGTCTCCGCCACGCACTCCGGTCCGAACATCTGAAAATTTCTCGGGCGGCCGCATGTGCAGTTCAGATGTTCGGCCGGGACACGAGTAGAGACACAAGGTACGTCTATGGATCAGCATGCACCCGCACAGACCCCCGTGGGACATGAGAGAAGAGAAGGACAGAGGAGTCAGCGCTGGATCGGAGACCGGCACCAGCGCTGGAGGGACAGCTAAAAACTACAGAAAAGAAGAAGAAGATTGGATTAAGAGGCGTCATTTAAGGTAAGTCCCTACAGCAGGATTGGGAAGTGGGGAAAAAAAGTTTGACTTTAATTTCACTTTATGTTGAGCGGAGGATGACACTGTGTAATAGAAACACAACTGGATAGAGGACATAGTTGAGATCTTCCATGAGAGAGACACCGGACTTTCCTGAGGTCCATAACATCTTGGCTCTTTTGGTACCTCTAGAACCAGACAAAGGGCTCCTTTGGTTCTCCACCCCAGTACGTTCCAGACCCCACCTGGGTCCACATCTGGCCTCCTGCAGACTTCAGGCCTAGATAGCTTCTCTATCTGTGTACACCCTACCCTGAGGCTAGGCCTGGGGGCAGACTGCCTTGAGAACATAACAATTATTGAGTATTTATGCACTTCCGCAGCATGCACCACTGGCCATGAAATTCCTAATGATTGGCTGGTGTGGCGGAAACACTCCCAATGTTTTCCCATTGGCTGCCCCACTCTGTGGCAGGGTCACATCCCACTACAGGAAGGTGCAGACAACAGCAGAACACCTAGGAATAACCAAATGATCACAGGCTACAAATCACCCAGACTGATTACAGTTCCAGCAACACTAAATTTAAAGAGCCAAGAGCTTCCACTTAGGGTGAATATGTTGTTAGGTCATTGGTGCCTTCTAGTTTTAACAGCTCCGGTTTCACTAGGCTAACCCGGCAATCCATGGTGCCAGGTTTATCACAAGACTTGACGCAGTAATGCTTTTTTACTATCTACACACAGATATCCATACCGTTACAAGTTACTGGACATGTATAGATCTGATTGGTGTCTGAGGGGAAGTCCAGTCCCATTGTGTACTCGGCCTGTAGCTAAATTCTCTATTGCAACTTGTTCTTTACAGCTGTGATCTAGACTGGAAACCTTCTGTACGATGGTTGCCCTCTCCAAGATACTCAGATGCTCCACTGCCTCACATCAAAGACAACAAATTCCCGGATCGAATCAGACTTCAGCGTTCTTATCCAAGTAAGCATCATTAATTCACATATTCAGTATGGATATTATCTAGGGTCTAGGGAAGTTCAGTTAATTAACGGCATTTTGTTTTCGTATTCTCTTCCTATCTTAAAGTGTAACTCTTGCAAATATGTTTTTAAGTATTGGATGCAGTGAGTAAAATTAGAGAAGAACTCCCGGATTTTTAAAGAATTAACACCCCTTGCAGTGGGGCTACCCCTGCAATGCAAGGGTTAAGTGCTCGTGTTGGTCTAGGGGCGAAAGTAAAGAAGATATACTTGTCCGATCCTTGGTCCTGCGGCAGTGGCCGCTGGCCTCTCCCTGCCTCTGCCCCAGCTGTGATTTGTCCCTCAGTCTCCTCACATCGAATGGACTGCGTTAGACATGATGATATAATGGGTTCCTAGACCACCAGAGCCCGGGAAAGAAGAAATCCTCACCTGATCCTCAGTCCCACCGGATTGCTAGACTAGTGCCCTCAGCCCCTTTTCCCTGGGCTCCAGCAGTCTAAGGACCTGTCACATCATCACATCTAATGCAGTCCATTAGATATGAGGACACCAAGAGACATATCACAGCCAGAATGGAGAGGGAGAGAGAGAAGTGGTCACTGCCGCAGGACCGAGGATCAGGTGAGTATCTTCTTTATTTTCGCGCCCTAGACCAAAATGTGCACTTAACTCTTGCAGTTTGGAGAAGCTACAAGGGTTCATTTTTATAAATCCCAGAGACACAACTGGATGTCAGTGGAAATCTCTGCATAACGAGGGGAACTTCCACCATGCACTACAAGAGGCTGATACCAAGTGAAATTCAGGTACTGAGGCATTATTCAGGGCTTGTTCACACCAGCAGCCACACTTAACTGCACGGCTGCTGGTGTGCGTGTGCCCAACTGTGCCATTACGCTCAATCAAGACCCAATGCACTGTTTCTTTTTATTGTGAGAACTTTATTAAAATATCACTTCTGACATTTCAATAAAGTCCTAACAAAAATAGGTTTTATGGGCTCACCGTGGTACCGCATCTCACTGTGGTGCGCTTAAAAAAGTACTGCATGCCATACTTTTTTTAAGCGCACACCACCAGTGCGCAGTGGTGTGAACTGTCACCCATGACAAGGTGGCTTTCATTCGGGCTACACTGGAAAAAAATGGCTGGCAAGCCCAAACGCATATTATGTGAACGAGCCCTGACACACACTAATTAAGTCTAGCAGTGTATTCTTGCTGTTGGAATCATGGGTGGTCCCAGATAGTTGAGGCCGCTTGTAAGGGTTTTCCGCGGCGCCCGGCAGCGAGTGTGCGTTCCAGGGTGGAACGCACCAGGAAGTGCATAACCGCCGTCACGCCTCCTCACTATGACGCCGGCCGATGCGTTCCACCCTGGAACGCGGAAGCGGCACTATGCTTTCCGTCCGTTTCCCGCGCCCACGGGCTATTTAAACATCCATGAAAGGTTAGCAAGGCGTTCCACTATTGAGGATCGAACGCCCTGCTAACCATCATTCAGGACCAATTTAGCCAGCCCTACGGAAGCTCCTTGGATCCAGGACATCCTTTCTTCAGCCACAGCCTGACAGGAGGACCTACACTAGCCGCCTCTCTGGGAGCTACACTCAGCAAAACTGCAAGTACTCTGCACCTGTAAACTGCAGCCCATATGCTAATGCATTTCTCCTGCTGATGTTACGCCTGTGAACCCCATTGACTTCATTGTTGCAGTATTCTGTGTCGTATCACCCTGTGCATGTCCTGGACTGATCCGTAGTACCTGCTGTCATCCAAAAAACGTACTAACGAACTTCTATATTGTTTTTGATGCTTGAAGCAATCTAGTTTTCCTTGCCTAAGTTACGTTAAATCTAGACACTTGCATTGTAGTGGCCTATGAAGTAATAGCCACTACTGGCCCCCCTGATAGGTTACACGGTATATGATGCACGAACCCTAACTCACCGTTAGATTGTGAGCGACGCCAGAGGTTCAAGCCTGAATTACCATCACACCTCTCATACTGAGTCCTACTCCTTAAAAACTCTGCAGCTGAGATCCAGAACTATACACTCACTAAGACAGGGCGTGACACCGCTCAGCCTGTACATCCAGCGATTACCTGAGGCTGGGGGCAGATGACTCACTCTGGATGCAATCTGTATCCACCCTAGGTACCGTATACACAGGTAACCACTGGATATGCAGATACATAACAATAGCAGCGGACAGCTGCAGCTCCAGTCAGCCTGTCATTGCTTTGTTTAGGCTGAGCAGCCACAGATGTCTGCCACCACCTGTGATCCCAGCCAAAGAATCCGCTGCCGGACCTAATTATCCCCTGTGAATGAGACCTTACATTGTTTGCATTAAAAAAATAAATGTAATGATACATTAGAGCGGCATTTGTGTCTTTTATATCTGCCTGGAGTTCAGCTTTCAATATTCACTAAACGTTCATCTTCCTTGCAAGTCTTCTTTAAAAGTCCAAAGGTCTGTTAAAGAAAAAATATAGGATATTCTGTACTGACCTCCATCTTTAAATGCCAATTGCAATACTGACCCAGTGGCTTTAATGTGCAATATCCATATCAGATCAGATTATTTTTTGTAGCTTGCCACAGCTGTATTGTGTAATACTCTATTGCATCCATCAGGTGGCGCCATCTGACAGCTAATGTGTGTGCTCCCAGTTATCTGAAAGTTCCAGCAGCAGAAGGAACACATGTATCAATGGGAATCTAAAGTTTTCTGATTAGATATTGTGCACAGTATATGTAAAGTGACCAGATCTTGGCTATTTTCTTTTTTTTTTTAAACATGATTCTAGTTTATAGAAGTTGTAATTATAATTTACATGGGGGCAGCCAGATTTCCTTTATGCCTTCTGTTTAGCAATCCTGCACAAGGGTTGTGTCATTACTGCCCCAAGCCTATCAGTCAGGTCTGACGGTTTGGAAGCAATGCACTCATTCTTATTGTTTCAATGCACTGCGGTTAGCTGTGGCACACACGTTAATATGTGGTGTTTAGCATATAATGAACATTAACGTTCAAGTTCCCTGAAGCTGCTGAGATTTGGGTCCTATTCACGCTATTGCATTGTGGTAGGGGGAGGTAAAATGCACGTTACCGTATGTTACCATAACACACGGTAGTGTACAAAACCAAGTGCATTGGGGGAGATGGCATCCCGAAGCACATAGGCAGCGCACCACAATGCATGTGCACTATAGTGCACTGCGAAAAAACAGACGTGCGCGTTCTATGCTTTGCTGTACCCATTCCTTGTACAAAAATGTTTTACAATGTGGAGCACAGCAAAGCATAGATCGCTCCCATCTGTTCACCGCAGTGTGCACATGCATTGTGGTGCGCTGTCTACCGTGTTTCCCCGAAAATAAGACACTGTCTTATATTTTTTTCAACGCAAGGCATGCTGGGAAAAAGAGCATAGTATTCTTTTTTTTTAACACCCCGTCGAAGTAAATGGACCCTAAACAATCGCAATAATAACTAAATATATGTGATCTCTGACCATGCACTAAAGGGTCTATTTATAAACAATTCACAGAGCCGTTCCCACTGCAAATCTCTGTGAATCTTCATTCTGTGCAAACTGAGACAAAAATGGATGTTTGTAGTATAGTTGTTTTTCAGGTTGAAAGTAAAGTAATGTAATACTGCATTATGGCCACTAGATGGAGCAGAGGGGCATAAGAAAATACCTATTTATGTCCTATATCTCCTCAGCACAATCTAGTTGCCATAATACAGTATCTACAGTGCTCTAAGGAGCAGAGGAAATATATTTCCGATGCTCTTCATCTCCATCTAGTGGCCACAATGTTGTATTTTCCAAATATTACATTTGTCCTGAAAGGAAAATATACTAAGGCCTTATTCACACAAGAAAAGGCCAGCACGTACAACTCCGTGCTGCGTACAGGGCTGTACCGAGCAGCTCCCGGTAGGGACAGGTGATGCGTGTGATTGGTATGCAGCCCCTGTCCTTCTCTATGTGAGTACGCGGCCATACGCCACCCTACACTCGCCCTGCATGTCCGTGTGGGTGCGAGTGTCCGTACTCATACGCTGATAGGATGGATCTTGTCTGCGTCCGAGCCAGGACACCCGCACCCATATTGGCCTGCACTTGGGGTGAGCGTCGGGTGGCGTACGGCCGCGTAGTCCCATAGAGAAGGACAGGGGCTGCGTACTAATCACACGCAGCACCTGTCCTTCCCGGGAGCTGCCCGATACGGCCGTGCATGCAGCACGTAGCTGTAGGTGCTGGCCTTTTCTCGTGTGAATGAGGCCTTTGAGTGTGCTGTTTTTGCCCTTATTCACACAAAGAATGTCCGCAGAGATTCACAGGACGCATTGCTTTGAGAATTGTTTATAAATAGACCCCTATGGGTCCTTATGAGATGGATGTGCTTTTTGGACCATGGCGGCTCTATGGCTGATTAGAGTTGGATTTTGACCTACGAGTGGTGCTGGTGGGCCATGTGCATTGTAAGTAAAGGAAATACATCTTGTTTATTCTGTATCTTACAGGAAGAGGTTTGGCCGGTGGAGCAGAATGGAGTTTTTACCCAAACTTCGGATTGCCCTTCACTTATCACACCGGCAAGCGCTGCGTTATTGACGGAGTTCACCAAAGCAGTCAGGCGTCCTCACGTGTACAGGTGTTACCGACCTGTTTGGGAAGGAAAAAGAAAGGTAATGCAGCAGAATGAAGTACAAATTTCATTTAGTAGGGCCTCAGTACAGCCAGACTGGAAGCTGAACTACGGGGGCATTTGAAAGCTACCCATGCAGTGAGGCTCCGCTAGCATTGCAAGGGTTAAATGTTCGTTTTTGTCCAGGGTACCATTAAACACCATTTTTACTTACCTTATCCCTCGCTGCTCTCCTCCGTGCTACCGGGTCCCGAAGCCGCTTCTCTTTGGCGCTCTGACCACATGAGGTACAATGCAGGACCAGTACTCTTGCATTGTGAGTGGAGATGCCAAGGGCCCCCAGAAGGCAGGAAGGAAGAGGAGATCACCTGATGCTGGGGAAGGGACAATTAAGGTAAGTACCACTGTTGTTTAATGTTCTCCTAGACAACAAATGAGCATGTGACCCTTACAGTGTGCGGGGAACGCCTCTGGATGGGTAGTTTGTCAATGTCCCCGGAGTTAGCGCCACCTGCATGTGTAGCCTGTTATAGCGGGCAGGCTGTTCATGTATAATGATGCTCTCTGAGCGCTCACTGATCATTTACTTGTAATACATTCTTCATTTCATCACTGATTTACCTTTCATGCCCTTTTCTCCCTTTTACCTTTCCTATCCCCAAATTGTTGTTCTCTTAGACAGTGGCGTAACAAGGGGGGTGCGGCCTGCACCCGGGTGCCACCATTGGAGGGGTGTCAGTCATTTTGGTGTCACCCCTTATGAAAAGTCACGGACTGAGAGCCCGACAGTGTCAGGAGAGAGAGGAGGGGAACCGGCGGCATACCCCATCCCGCCGGGTGAAAGTCCCCTCCTCTCTCTGCCGGCGTCCATCACCAAGATCAATAAGATAACCGCACATGCGCAATGACGTCATCGCGCATGCGTGCGGCAACGTCACACGCATTCGTGCGATAAAGTCACGGCGGGGTGTCACCCGTTCTCCGCTCCGGGTGTCACCCAGCCTCGGGACTCCTCTGCTTTCAGATGTTACCTGTTGCATAATGGTCCAATGGCTTTAGTATTTTTCAATCACACACGGGACAAGTATGCAGATTGAGTATTCTAATATCACAGGCATGCTTGTTCCAGGTTTGTGACTTAAGGTGCCCATACACTGGCCGAAATTAGGCCGTTTTTTTATGTACCGCATAAAAATCGTAAAGTGTGTGGGGCTGTCGGCTCCCTTTCAGCCTGCATTCCTCGATCAGCTGATCGAAGGAGCTGACTGGAAAATCTTCCTATGATCGGAGCCGGCAGCCAATGAGCTCCCTGCTCTGACCGGGTATTCAGAATACAATGTAAACAGCGGTGATTCCTCGATGGATATGCTGTTTGTGTTGATGGAAGAATCAGGTAAATTTTTTTCTTTCAGCCTGCGGGTTGACCGACAAAAATTCATAGGTGTATGGCCAGTCTTAGACAGCAGAGGATCAGCATGGCTACCAGGCAATGAGCAACGTCATAAGGAGGTTATCAGTGGCGTAACAATAGCCATAGCGGCCCATGCGGCTGCTATGGGGCCTGGCGGTGGAAGGGGGCCCCAATAAGGATTGCTGCTGACATTATTAATCATTAAGAGCTGACATCAGATATACAGGTGAAACTCGAATAATTAGAATATCGTGCAAAGTTCATTTATTTCACTAATGCAACTTAAAAGGTGAAACTAATATATGAGATAGACTCATTACATGCAAAGCAAGATAGTTCAAGCCGTGATTTGTCATAACTGTGATGATTATGGCTTACAGCTCATGAAAACCCCAAGAACCCCAAATCCACAAGCTCAAAAAAGTAGATTATTACATGCAATCAATAAAACAAGGATTGTACATAGAACAATATCGGACCTCTGAAAAGTACAAGCATGCATATGTACTCAGTACTTGGTTTGGGCCTCTTTTGCAGCAATTACTGCAATTACTTTTGCACAATATTCTAATTATTCGAGTTTCACCTGTACTAGGGGGGCTATGCAGGCAGCTCTCCTGCTACCTGACTTTATTGTCAATGACAGTAGGGAGTTGCTGGGGGACCCCTTCAAAATTTTGCTATGGGGCCCCATGATCTGTGGTTGCCACCCTGGAGGTTATAATATTACAGACATTTATATAGCACTGAAAGCTAACACTTTACATGCTGCACATTCACCATAGATCCCAGCTGGCCCTCGTATTGCAACCAAATCCCTCTGTTCCTCTTTACCCCTCAGCTGTCCTCTTTTTGGTCTTGATGTATAGACCTCTATTAAAAATGATTTATTCAGCTATCAAAAGTGTTTTACTGCACGGAACCTTTCATCCCGCCTCTAAATGATTGGATTTGTTATACTGCAAAGGTAAATCTGGCCAATCAGATGTGTTTAATGCATCCGAATGGGTCTGAACATGAATTTTGGTCATGGCAACATGGGAGCCATATACAGTATATACATGTGAAAGACATGTGCATTCAGATTCGGACGAACCTGCAAATCAACGAAAGTCAGTTGATTCAACGTTTCGTCCGAATCTGAAATAACAAATGTAACATATGCCCGAATATACTAAAACAATAATTAGGCATACATTAATTAGTTTTCAGAACACATCGGCAACCATATTGGCCACCGGTGTGTTCTGCGCATGCCCGCCACCATCTTGGAGGCGGATTGTGTGACGTCACATGACGGTGATGTCACATGCTGAATGATGGCCGCAGGCGCCATCTTGGAGTAGATCTAGGTATACACCAAGATGGCAGTGCTCGAACATGAGGGCGAGCCATCTTGGTGTAGACCAAGATCAACTCCAAAATGGTGGTGCACATGCACAGAACGCACCGGCGGCCGACATGGCCGCCGCACGTTCTACGGTTTCAGTGTGCGCTTTTGGATTAAGAGGCTCGTTGCCTGCGAATCCGAAACAACATAAAAATTAGTTTCCTTTGACCAAATGAATGAAAACGTTTTTCGTTTTCATTTGTTTTGTCTGAAAACAAATCTTTTTGTTCTGCACATGTCTAACATGTAATACTAAAGCTGAGGCCTCTGGGAGTCATAACTGTGGCTGTCCGAGTCTTGCCATGCCTCATGGGACTTGTAGTTTCACAACAGCTGGAGTAAATGGGTGGCCTACTCCTGATCTATAGCACACCCCCACATGCTACAATCTGATTGTACAATTACCTTTAGATCTTCCAACAACTATGTAGCACAAAGGACCTGCCCAGTTGGCTAAACATTGATTAGACAGTTTAAGCATGTCCCCATATTACAAAGTGTAGGTACATCTAAAGTTGATTGCTTGGGTTTCCATGCTGGTAGATTAATTGGCTCCTGTCTGAATCTGCCCTATTGTTGGTGCATATATGCATGTGAGCTAAGGACCTTAGGGTCACCATATTCATTAGAGTATGGTGACTCTAAGGTGCCTAACTCACATTCATTAGAGTATGGTGACCCGAATGTGTCTAATGCACATGTATTGGAGTATGGTGACCCTAGGGTGCTCAGCTCACATGCATATATACACCCACACTAGGGCCAATTTTGTGTATATGCATGTGAGCTAGGTACCTTAGGGTCACCATACTCTATTGCAGGAGTGGGGAACCTCCGTCCCTCCAGCTGTGGTGAAACTACAAATTCCATGAGGCATTGCAAGATTCTCTCAGCCACAGGCATGACTCCCAAAGACAGATGCATCATGGAATTTGCAGTTTCACCACAACTGGAGCTGGAGGTTCCAGCCCCTGTTCTAATGCATGTGAGCTAGGCGCCTTTGGGTCACCATAATCTAATGAGTATGGTGACCCTATGGTGCCTAGCTCACATGCATTAGAGTATGGTGACCCTAAGGTCCCTAGCTCACATGCTGGGTCGCTCTGTGCATGGAGTTTTCATGCTCTCCCTGTGCTTGCTTGGGTTTTCATGCCAGTAAGTTAATCGGATCCTGTCTAAATTGGTCCTAGTGTGGGTGTGTATAAGCATGTGAGTTAGGCACCTTAGGGTCCCCATACTCAAATGAGTATGGGGACCCTAAGGTGCCTAGCTCATATGCATTGGAGTATGGTGACCCTAAAGAGCCTAGCTCACATGCATTGGAGTAAGGTGACCCTAAGGTGCCTAGCTCACATGAATTGGAGTATGGTGACCCTAAAGTGCCTAGCTCACATGAATTGGAGTATGGGGACCCTAAGGTGCCTAGCTCATATGCATTGGAGTATGGTGACCCTAAAGAGCCTAGCTCACATGCATTGTAGTATGGTGACCCTAAGGTGCCTAGCTCACATGCATTGGAGTATGGTGACCCTAAGGTGCCTAGCTCACATGCATTGAAGTATGGTGACCCTAAGGTGCCTAGCTCACATGCTTTGGAATATGGTGACCCTAAGGTGCCTAGCTCACATGCATTGGAGTATGGGGACCCTAAGGTTCCTATCTCACATGTATTGGAGTATGGTGACCCTAAGGTTCTTAGCTCACATGCATTGGAGTATGGTGACACTAAGGTTCCTAGCTCACATGCATTGGAATATGGTGACACTAAGGTTCCTAGTGCACAGGCATATATACAATATATACACCCACATTAGGGCCAGTTTATACAAGAGCCAATTAACTTACCAGTATGGTAGGTTACCATGCAAGCACAGGGAGAGCATGAAAACTCCATGCAGAGAGCATCCTGGCCTGGATTTTAACCAAAGACTCCAGTGCTTAAACGCAGATGTTCTAACCGCTATAGGTCAGGAAGCAAAGGGAAAACATCTCCAATAGGACACAGGGGGCAAAAAGAAAATGTTTTTGACCCTTCTCTACTCTAATACAAAAAAAATCTTGCCTTTAGATCCACTTAATTCAGGATTTTCAGTTTAACTGGATAAAATCTCTCATTTCCTTACTGTACGTTAATGGCTGTGCTGCAATTCACGTTTTTGGCAGGTGGTGGCGCTGCAGTTAAAGTATATATATTTATACTGCCTATGTGCAGCTGCCAGTCCTGTCAAATCTCAGAAGC